TTTTCTTCAGATTGAAAAAAATCCATAATTAGTAGAGTTATTCAGCAGGCACTCAGAATCTTGCTGGCTGAGTTTGCACACAACACATTCAACCATGTTCTATCATGGCTTATTGAATAAACCACACCTTGATGGTACATATGTGGATATAGTTGACATTTTTAATCCTGGAAGTGCCATTTGCTATTACCCTGTTTCCCCCAAAATAAGACTGATAATAAGCCCAATCGGGCTTTTGAGTGCATGGCAATAAGGCCAAGCGCTTATTTCAGGGTTCAAAAAAAATATAAGACAGGGTCTTATTTTCTGGAAAACACGGTACAAAGATTGTGAAAACATGGAATGTTGAATTTAATCTAAACCAAACTACTTTAAGAACTGTAACATCTGAAATTATCTTTAAAGTTTCCAAACTTTTTGTTTCAATAAAATTAGAATATTCAGTGAGTAGCAAGTAGAATTATCAGAGGTTCTTTACTTAAAAGGTTGTCCCACATTTTCTTAGGCATCCTAAAACAGCTAAATTCAGTTCTTCTCAAACTTAGCAATTTTAAAATGTGTGGACCTTAACTCCCAGAATGCCCCAGCTAGCAAGGCCAGGAGTTGAATTCTGGGAGTTGACATCTTAAAATTGCCAAGGTTGAGAAGCACTGCCTTAACTTATCCAGTATTTAGGATCAGTAGGGAAAGTTAAAACAAGATCTGAAGACTGTAACCAAAACAGAAGACTTAGAATGTGGACAGTTGGTAGATTTTAGTACCAGGAAAAAAAGGTAAAAGGCATCCGTGATACCCAAATCAATACTTCAATTGAGAAGGGCAGTGTAACAAATCAGAATTTTTAAGACACTGAAGTCTTTTGAGGGCTTAATTAACATGCTACTGCCATTTAAAGTTGGAGGCCTCTGTTCTACACAAAGGTAATTTATCCATTATTTCGCAAAGGTGGTAACTCATCTGGAGCAGTTAAAACCATGTCCAACAAGCTTGGACAGGACACGGTGTTCAACAGGATTTGTCCTTGCCTTAACTTGTCAAAGCTACACCCCCAGGTATCCCGTGACAGGTAACACTAGAGGTTCTTTGGTTTTCAATCCATCAGGCGGAACGGATCCTTGCAAATATTTAAAGCTACATTCTGAAATATTTAAAGTGCATCTGACAGGTTCTTGAGGTGGTGTTTTTTTTTTTTTTACAGCAACCAATGCCCCACTGTAAACAGACAGGGTCAAGTAGCTGGCTTGAGGGGAAGAAGGGAGCCCCCCTGCTAACTCTGCCTGACAATAGAAACCCAAATATGTTAGGTTTTTTGTTAAAACTGCACAACTCCATACAGCCATTTAGTTAAAACAAAGCAATGCTGATACTGCCATGGAAAGAAACCACATCATCCTGCTTATCTTAAATTCTCTCATCAATTCAAGCATGCATCCTAGTGAGTCTGCATTTTGTTTCTTCCTTTTGGCCTGCTAATAATCTATCGCCAGACACACAAGCCGGTTCAAAATACTTTTGCATGGTTATCTGCCCCATTACCCATGCGCTTGTTTTGGGGGTTTTTTTTTTTTTGCTGTGTCTGGAAAAAAGGTCAGGTCCTTCACTCCTGTGTCACATTTACTGATAAGCAAACCCCACTGGATTTCACGACTCTTATGCTCAAATAAATGTGCAAGGGATTACAGCCAAAATAAACCCTCCTTCATGCTCCCAATTAGCAAAGTCAGTAAGCAGCAACAGGGAAAAAACATCCTGCTTCATTTAAGGGTTTAGCTCTGGGTCTTGGAAACTGCCTGCTTTAGCAAAAGGGCTGGGCATTTGAGAAGGCAACCTCCAGTCCAGGAAAGCTTATATGGGGTGGCAAATTTGCTTGTCTTTTAACTGAGTCACAGGACTTTTCTGATCTGCAATTGCTAAGAGCCTGACAGCTCCCCCTTCTGGAGTGTGTCAGCAAAGATTGTGGTCTACAAATGACATCACAAGATTGAAAACAGATCAAAGATCTTTTGGACTTCTCCATGAATTTCACCCCCTAACAAATGCAGACCAAAATTGCACTCTGTTATTATAGTTCCAATTTATTCCTGTTATCAAGCCCCAGTAAATAAGTAAATACATGCTCGGGGTGTGGAGGCGTTCCAGGTGTACACACACCATCCATCGCAAGATTTTCCCAAACTGCTGTTTGCTTCCTGTTTTAAGAGAGGGAATAAAATGAACTAGGGCTTTTAGCAATGCCTACTTATAGAGTCCATCTGGCGGAAGAAGGCATCTGTTAAAGCATTTCCATGGTTGAAATGGACTTAATGAAAATGATTACAGGTTTTTGCTCCGGACCTCCCTTCCCCAGAGATTTTACATGCCGTTCAACAAAGGGAGATTTGGGATTCAGCCACATCACAAAGAGTTCATTATGGACAAGACTCCTGACATACTATTTTCCTCCCATTCACATGGAAGCAAGCGGCCCTGTTAACATCTGCAGAGTCCTGCTCAGATGGCAGTACAAAAGAATCCAGTTTTAAAGGTTCTTTAAAAAAGAAAGAAAGAAAGAAAACAGAGGAATTAGGCACACTGTCTGATTAACACTGTTCATGGGGTCCATTTCCCACTCAACCAATCGACGCATTTCCAAAATCCTGGGGTTTTTTTTTTGCCAAAAGAAACAGAGAGAGAGAGAAAAGACTCCATCTTCCATGCTATAAAAAGCTGTATTTCTAAGGATTCAAAAATGCCACCGTCAGTTGAATTTTGACCATTCATTTCTTCACCCACACAGCTTCATGCTTCCCTTTTTTTTAAAAAAAAAGACAAGACTCCACATTTTCTCCAACTGCAATCTCAGCTTTCCGTTGTGCAATTCAGCTGAAATAACCAGGAATTATTTGTGCAAACCCCGCCTCAACCTCAATGGATTCAAGATAGTTCTAAATAATAAGGATCTGCAGAATGGTAAACAAAACCATGCAAACTCATGGGGTATCCAAACAAGGAAAAGAGATCAGGGCCAACCCTGAAGATGCCCACATGTTATACAGTAATCCATAGGGGTTTGAACAAGAAGCTGGCACTATCCTGGACTATGTACTGCCACATATACATGATCATATGGAGTTGTTTTATATCATTGTTACTTGTCCCTTCTTGATTCCTACAATTTATTTGGGCTGGCGCAGCTTGCCAACTGCTCAAAGATCTTTCGTGTGTTTTAAAACGAAATGCACAAAAGTTTGGATACATAACACACCTCACACCTATGTGGTTCTTCCCCCTTTTCCCAACTAAAAGCCAGATAACCAGGAGCCTTAAGACCACCATAACTGGGCTTCACTGTGGACGCCACTGGGAACAAGTCACACCAAGGAACTACCTTAACTGCAATTCTGGGCTCACATATTGTCCAGCTGCATTTTTGCCAAGTCCTTGCCAAAAGCAACAAAGGGATTTTGTTTAGGTGAGTGGACAAATAGGACAGCACGAGGGGTACTGAAGATGTCCATTAACCAAGCAAAATTGGGAAAGACCACAGACTAATTCCATCAGCCTCTTGGGGGGGGAGCCTTTTTTTTAAAAAACTGATTTTTTTTAAAAAAATTATTTGTTAGCTTTTTATTATCCTGCCTTTCTACTCATTGTGTCCTCCTTTCATTTTTCTCCACAATCACAACCCAGGCAGAGAGAAAACAAGTGATTCAAAGTCACCCCAAAGAGACTTTTCCTGTTGTTGGAGAGTGGATCTGAACCTCTTCAACTGGGTTCTCACTATATCTAAAATACTATTTCCACAAATAATTTCTCAGCCAGCCACTTCATACAGAAAACCAGGCCAGTATCTTTTTACACAAAACCAGCATATACCACGAAAGGACAGCCACTCAAATCGGGTCCAAAAAAATCCCCCCCCCAAAAAAACCCAAACATCTGGGCACTTGGCTTGATTTATCACAGCAAACCCCATCCCAATTCTTTTTACAGTACTCCCAAGGGTTGAAAAAGGGAGGCATCAAACCAATGGCCCATATTAAGCCTCCCACGGTGGATTCTCAAAGGTATCTTGCCACTGAAGATGGAAGTTCCATTTCAGCAAACTAGCTGGGAACGTTAAAAACATTGGCAAGGTGGAAATACTATTAGGTAGATCTATTCCTAACGTATAACATTAAAAGCATTGGCAAGCCGGAAATACTATTAGGTAGATCTATTCCTAACATATGTCTTTTTTAATATCTTGACATCAGGAAGGGCAAGTGGGAGCATTTCAACAAGGCCAGCCTTTGCTTAATACATCATACCTTGGATGGATCTTCCCTCCGATGGAGATAAATAAAGCAAGAGCTAAGGAGAGGTGCAACTCTACACAACAAACTACCCACAGAAATAGCAATAGCACTTAAGACTTATATACCGCTTCATAGTGCTTTTACAGCCCTCTCTAAACGGTTTACAGAGTCAGCCTATTTGCCCCCAACAATGGGTCCTTGGCATCCCAAAGAAAGCCTTTATTTCTTCGGGATACCAAGAGGCTTCGGCTGCGCCCTTTTGGCTCCAAAAGGCCATTGATTCATTCAGCACTCCAGGGACGATGACCATCCTGGGCCCGGAAAAAGGGGGTTCGTGGACCCCCCCACCCCGAAGGGAAACCCCAGCGCGGCTCGCCATCAAGCAGGGCAATTGGGGCGCCCCCAAGTTGAGAGTTGGACCCCAACCCAACCCAAGGCCCTGATCGCGGGCAGGGAAAGCAAAGGCAGGGCTCCCTCCTTCCGTGCCCTGGGCATTGAGCCTTTTGGCGCTTGGCTGCTTTTGCTTAGCGACCCACCTACCTCTACAAGGAGTCAGGTGGGTCGGAGGTAGAGCCCTTCTCCTGCGCAGGTTTGCAAAAGGCGGAGGGGGGGAGGATCGGGGGGGGGGGCGTCCCCCTCCCCCCCCCCTGTCCCCCCTTATCCAGGGCCCCCCCCCCACTCCACCGCCCTTATCCCCATCAGCCCCCCCCCCAACTCCCTTACCTTCATGTCACTGATGGTGGTCTGGAAGAGCCCTCCAAGGGCGCTGCATTCCTTCTCGATCACCGCCTCCATGTTTCTTTGCGCGCCCCCCACCACCAGCTTCCGAGGAGACCCCCCCCTCTCCCCAAAAGCAACGACGGGGGGCGATCTTCTCCTTCTGCACACACCCCTCTCCGGCTCCCCGATCAAGAGGATCCCGACCAAGACGGGATATCAAAAAGAGAGGAAAATCCCGAGGTTGGCTCGTTCCCGATGCAAGATTTTGAAAGGCTGGCAAAAAAAAGGCAAAAGGCAAGGCGGATTCTCGCCCGCGCCCAAAAACTCCCCTCTCCCCTCCGCTCTTCGCAGCCCGGCGATTCCGAGTTTTAAGCGCAGCTCCTTAGCAACCCCGAGGAAAATTCCCACGGATGGGGAATGTGGGGGGGGGGGGTGCGGGGAGACTCAGTCAAGGTGCTGGCGAGCCCCCCAGGCGAGGGCACCGAGCGCAAGCCCACGACTGGCCATCCCGGCTCATGCCCGCGCAAAAGCAGCCACTCCGATCTAAGCCTGCTGGGGGCGGGTGGTTTTGTGGGGGGGGGGGAAGGCGGAGATGGGGGGGTGGTTTCAACAGGAAAGAGGCGAGCGGGTGAAACAACGCCTCGGATGCGCCAGCCGGTCTTTTTCTGCCGCCCACAGCAGCCTCCTCTCCCCCACCTCCTCCTCCTCCTCCTCCTCCTTCGCAAGCCGCTATTCAATGGAGCAGCTGCGGATCCGATTTTTTGCCAAAAAAAGAAAAAGAAAGAAAGAACGAACCCGGGGATTTTTGGGAAAGGGGGTGGGTGGGTGAGGAGAGCGAGCGAGCTACCAAGCCTGTATCTTGCTCTTTAAAAAAAGAAAGAAAGAAGGCGCGTCCCAGTTTTTTTCTTTAAAAAAAAAGGCTAAAAGCACGTCGCCGATTTGTGTGTGTGTGTGTGTGTTTTTAGGGGGGTGGGGAAAAAAATCCCAAAGCGCTATTTTTAAAAAAAAATAAAAATAAAAAAGCAAGCAATTGCGTGGAATGCATTCGAGGCGAGCTGGCGGAAAGGAAGAGGATCGCCGCTGCTTTTTTTTTATTCACAAGACACCAGATTTTTTTTTTCTCTCTCTCTCTCTCTTTCTTTTCTTTCCCAGATCGTAAAAATGTCCATTCCTTCCTCCGAAAGGGAGGGAATCCAAATACAAAAGAAAACCCACCCCCGCAGCAAAAGCCCTCCGGCCTGCTGATTCCACAGCTAACACCCCTCCCTCCTTCTCCTCCTCCTCCTCCTCCTCCTGCCTGCCTGCTCCCCCCTCGACTCCCCGCCACCCCGTCTCCCCTTCTCCCCTCTTCCAGCCAGGCGCCACCGATTGCACGCAAGCGCGAGGCTGGAGCAGCTTCACAGATTCCCCGGGAAGATACGTCACGGGCGCCAATGCCCGGGCCGCGGCTTCTGATTGGTGAAAAGGCTGAGAGAGGCGGGCTGAGACGTTGCCTCTCGCCCAGCTCTTACCTGAGAGGCGGGGAAGTTGTGCCTTGGATGCTTTTCCGAGGCTTCGGCCGCGGCTGAGGGGCTGCGTTGGGGCTCCCTCCGTGCCTTCTGAGGTGGCAGCCAAGGCTGTATTTCAGCCTGGTTTGTTGCCTGAATTCTCCCAAAATAGCTCCCTAAAGATATTTACCCCATGTAGTAGAGCTGTAATGATATTAGCCTTCTTATCTTCTCATCTTTCCTACTACCTTCTGTTGGTATCTTATGATTTATCACTTGTTGTAAATTGTAATTAATGATTGTAACTATGATCTACGACATATGACCTAGCACTTTGTTGTTTGTATGCACACCGAGAGCTTATGCACCAGAGAAATTCCTTGTCTGTCCAAAATAAAGATTATTCTATTCTATTCTATTCTATTCTATTCTATTCTATTCTATTCTATTCCATCCCAACTCCCACTCTACTCTACTCTACTCTACTCTACTCTACTCTACTCTACTCTAGCTTATAACATGCCTGTGAGCAGCCTCCCTCCCTCGCAAGCCACTATTCATTTAGCAGCTGCGGATCCGATTTTGCCAAAAATAAAAGAAAGAGAGAAAAAAAATACCCAGGGATTTGGAAGCAGCAAGAGATGGTCCAAAAAATGGACTTGTGAAAACCAGCCAATTGTAATAAATTGTCAAAAACACGTAGCTGAATACAGATACAATTTTTAAGTAGTGGGCACATGTTGGGCGGTTGTGTAACTCTTAATTCAGCCACAATCCTCACAATATGAAGCCACAAAATATGATTTAGAAATCACTTGAGCGCGCTAAACAAGCCACAAAGAGCTTTAAAGGGGACAATCAGCACCTTGAAATTCACTCGGAAACACATTGGCAACCAATGCAGCCCCTGAAGCAGTGGTGTTACTTGTGCCAAATAAGCAACTCCATTTGCAACCCCTGCAGTTGCATTCTGCACCAGCTAAAGCTTCTGAATGCTCCTCAAGGGCAGCCCCATGTAGAATGCATTGTAGTAGTCCATTTATGGTCCCTTAGACCTCCGTTCCTGAATCATTTGTTATCTAAAGATGCTTCGTTATGGCTCCCAACGGTGATGCTTGATTGGAGAGGATGGGAATTATATTTCAGGACATCAGGAGAATGTCAGATAGGATTTTACAATACAGTAGAGTAGAGTAGAGCAGTGGTCCCCAATCCCGGGCCATGGCCCACTACTGGGTCTTGAGCCCTTTGAAACCTGGCCACAGAGGTGGCGAACGAGTGCAAACATATCTGCACTTGCGCAAGCAGTGGCTGAGCATGTGTGTACATCTGCGTGGGAACTCCATTTGCGTGAGCGGCAAACACGTGTGCCCCACTGCTCGTGTAGACTCATCTCCTCTCCCCCACTTCTACCGGTGTGCAAAGGTGGAAAAGTTGGGACCTCTGGAGTAGAGTAGAGTAGAGTAGAGTAAGGAATAGAAATAAAAATAATAGAAATTTAGTGGAATGGAATGGAATGGAATGGAATGGAATGGAATGGAATGGAATGGAATGGAATAGAGTAGAGTAGAGTAGAGTAGAGTAGAGCAGAGCAGAGCAGAGCAGAGCAGAGCAGAGCAGAGCAGAGCAGAGCAGAATAGAATAGAATAGAATAGAATAGAATAGAATACTTTATTGGACATGTGTGATTGGACACACAAAGAATTTGTCTCCTGTGCAGGAGCTCTCAGAATTTGTCTCCCGTGTAGGAGCTCTCAGTGTACAAAGAAATATAAGAAACCAATAGGAGAAGGTAGTAGAAAAGATGAGAAGCCCGATTCATTTAAATGACCATGTGATTGTACTGTTCAACAACTACAGCAAAAAGGTTGTGAAATTGGATGCGACTCACTTAACAACCACATCACTTAGTGACAGAAGTTCCCAATTGTGGTCATAAATCAAGGACTACCTGTAGTATCTCACCCAAACGTTAACTGAGCATAATCCTACATAGCTTTTCCAAAATCTGATACTTGCTGAAGTGCCCTCCTGTAACAGATAACTCCAATCAACACAAAGACAACTGAGGTAGGAAGAAGTGGCTCCATTCATGTGAGGAGATACAGGCTTTTGTCATTGCTTTGGCCTCAAGTTTTGCATATATAGGGATTCACATCCTGGATATAATGCGTTTCAATTCCTCCTCTCAAGATGCTGCTGTAGGGCATTGCATGGCAAAACAACTAGACAGAGTTTTTTCCCTTGTGCTATTATTCTGCTGAATAATAATTCTACTTCCTACAGCACTGTCTTATGTCTAAGGATATTTATCCTTGTGGTAGGGCTGTATTGCTATTATTCTTCTCTCATTGACTTTGCTCTTCAGAAGCCAAATGGCAAATGTGGCCCTGGTTGCTGATTGCCAACTGCCCAAATATTCATCACGTGACTATGGAGATGCTGCAAAAGTCATAAGTGCAAGGACCGGTCATAAGTCAGTTTTTTCAGTGCCATTGTAACTTCTGACAGTAGTCAAATAATTACTTGCAAGTTGAGGACTACTTGTATGAAGAAATCCAACATTTTGCACAGAATGGAACAGAATGTTTTGAAAGTCAGGTCCCATGGGCCAATCATCGTCTCTTTTAGTTTTCATTTCAGATAAATTGTTATTGGAACAATACTTACTTAGGAATGTTCAAAAGTCATAGGTCACATAAATAAGGAAGTGTTCAGAAGGAAATAACCACCAGTTTGCGTATTTAATGTAATTTATATGATAAATTGTCTGTTATACCCTGCAAGTAGAAATATGTCCAGATTCTGTTTGAAATAAGAAAGTCAGAATGGCATCTGCATATATCTCTTTCCCATCAATTCTTTTTATCTCTGCCATCTGCTAAGCAGGAGTGGTATAACCAGACAGGCAAAACAGGAGCAGATACCTCCAAACCAGAAGGTAAACAAGTTAAGAGACAACTTTGTTCCTTACTTGATCAAGAAATATATGTGGGTATTATAACTGAAGAATTTAAGTTAGAACTGAAGTCCACCCATCTTAAAGTAACCAAGGTTGAAAAACATTGCACTTAGAACTTGTTCTTTCTTACCTTTCAGCTTCATTAAATTTGCATTTGTATTTGCATTTACATAGCAAAACAAGCTAAACAATTTCCAGTTTAGCCTGGTTACTAATGCAAACCCAGAAAAGGCTTTTGATAGTGCAAACCTTGACTCCAGCACGGCAAAAGAGCTACCTGTAATGCAACATAATATCTGTGTAGTAGCCCATTATTTATTGAATAAATCTTATCTTCTGGGTTTACACACCATACTGATCTACAAATTAATCACCAGTCTGTTTTTACATAGTAAAAAGGCTGTTTTATGGTGCCATGGGTGATTCAAACAATTACTACTTAATTTATATCACAGATAGGTTCTTAAGATCAAGTGAGAAGAGAATCCAGATATGGTACTTGCATGGAAAAAGAGAGCTAGAAATAAAAATTAATTAAGAGATTGTACTAAGTTTCCAGCAACTATTCTTTGAATAAAAATACAGGGTCATCTGGAAGTTCTTGATCTTATGGTATTCTTTGAATACTCACAAAATGAAGACTATATTTCAAAAAAATTTTAAAGTAACAAAGGATTAAAATGCTATTACTCTTATTGCTGTTGTATGTCCCAATTCTATGCGGAATAAATCAGAGATAAAAAAGGATAGTATTAAAGACTACCAGTAATCCTCAATTTATGGCCACAACTGAGCCCAACATTCCTACTGGTAAGCAAGAATGAATTTTGCTCTGTTTTACAAATTTTTATTTTTATTTTTATTTTTTTTATTTTTTGCAATAGGAGTCACTGCAGTTCTTAGTAACACGGTTGTTAAGGGAATCAGGCTTCCCCATTGACTTTGCTTGTCAGAGGGTTGCAAAAGGGGATCACATGATCCCAGGACACTTCAACCATCATAAATATGAGTCACTTGCCAAGCATCTGAATTTTGATCATGTGCCCATGGGGATGCTGGATTAGTTGTAAGTGTGAAAAACAGTCATAAGTCACTTTTTTCAGTG